ACCCGGAGGTGCTGCCCCGGCTCCAGCTGGCAGCTGCGCGGCTTAACACCTCCCACGCAGCCGCGTGCTTGCTGGGGCCACCCAGCCCTGTCCCGCTCCCAGCTCTCCAAGTCTCCGCACGGAGCCCACCCATGGGGAAGTCACCTGCGAGCTCAGCGTGCACCAGAGTGGAGAGATCCCGGCATGGGGAGGGGGTACGAGCATGGGGCCGGCAGCCCCCCACGCCCCCCAGCCCTGCACAAGGCAGGTTTGCCACCCCGCTGTTTGCAGGTCCTGGCCATGGAAAACCACATTGTGCCGCAATGGCTGTATCCCAGGGCTGCAGCTATTTCACCTCCCATCACCGCCTGCCCACACCTCGCCGACGGCACTGAGTCACCCAGCGGGTGTTTTCCAGCACAACAGGGCCGGATTCAGCACATGCAGCACCCAACACCAGGCTGAGGCATGGAGGGCACAAGTTGCCGAACCGGGGGGGGATTCAGGGCTCATCCCGGTGGGTTTCCGTTGTTCTGCGGAGCCAGTGCAGACCCCCAAAGAGCCCCCAGCTCCTTGACAGTCCCCCTTTCCCTTTCTTTCCTCCACCCCCATTTGCACGGGGATGCTCCATCTCACCCATGCCAAGCTGGTTACTTACCCCACCGGGTTGGGCTGGACCGGCTGCGTCCCCTCCAGCTGCTCCTCGCCGTCTGGTCCAGTTGGGCTGGGAGAGGCTTTAAGTGCTGGGGGGAGGCAGGGGCTGCCTGATCCCCCGCTCCCCGTCCCCAGCCTCCGTGGGGGTTAGTGCCTGCGGGATGGCAGCTGGAGTGGGGAAAGCACCTGTGTGTGTATGTAACGGGGGGATTCCCCGCCGGAGCCATGCTAAGACCCCCTGCGCCGGCTGACGGGGCTGGGGCTATGCGGGGGAGGAGCTGGCCATGCCGGTACCAGTGCGGCCAGCCCCCCCACGTGCCCCCAGCCCCATCTAGGACCATTTCCCAGGGCCCTTTTCCCACCCACGCCAGGATGAAAGTGGCAGAGGGTCAAGTTTCCACAGCCAGCAGCTGGGGGAAAAGGGGGATGCCCTGAAAGAGATCAAAGCTGGAATCTGCCTCCTCTCGGCTCTTAATGCTTTAGTTGGCTTCAAAGCTGGATTTAGGGGGAGCAGCACCCCAGGCCCCCCCAAACTCTGCGAGCATTTGACTTGCTTCCTTTGCATGGCCCTGCAATTTGTGGATGCTCCTTTGGGACATCAAAGGTGCCACCCCAAGGTGGTTCATGTCCCGCTGGGGGTACGGAGGTGTTGTACTCCCTCTGCTCATCTCAAGACGGCCAGTCTCCCCCCACAGCCATCCCAGCTGCCTTGCTGGGAGATGCACCGGGTTCAAATGTGATCTTGGGGTTCATCCCGAGTGGACCATGTTGGCCGTGCCCATCTGGAGTGGCAGAGGGGTCCCTGTGGGTGCGGGGCCCCACTGGAGCAAGATCCCCAAAAAGCATGTGCCTGCCTGGACACAGGGTTTGGGGGGTTGCGTTGTTGCTGTTATCCCCCAGGATGTGCAGCAAGTGGCCTGGCACATTGCTGGGTGGCTCCGGGTGGCCAGGGGGCTCCCATCCCCACACGGGCTCTCCCCGCCGGCAGTCTGCCTCTGCCGGCTCCTGCCTGTCCCCAGTCCTTGCCCCCAGGTACTGCTCCGGGGGACCAGGGTCTCCAGCCCCAGGACAGCCCCTCAGCCCCCACAACTCAGCATGGGGGGAGGCAGAAATAAACAGGGGAGGCAAAACATGAAAAACGAGGCTTTATTCCAAAGTACAAAAGCCCCCAGGAGAGCAGAGCCAGCCCCAGCCCAGTGTGGCCGAACGCTGGGAAGAGCTGGACACCTTGTGCGAGTTTAGCAACGGAGCTGCCGGAGCAGTGGTGGTGCCACGGCAGTACCATGGCCACCATCCCAAAGCACCAGTCTGGGTCCCACAGCGTGGGGACAACCGGCACCCAGGGTCCCTGGCAGCGGCAGGAGAGGACACACCACACCTCGGCGGCAAGTTACCCCGCGGGAAGTGATGCCATCCCCGAAAATACCATAAGGGCATTGCTTCCCACTGGCTGAGCCGTCCATCCTTCCCGCCTCCAGTCACTCGAACTTGGGCTTGGTGGGGGCCGCGTGCCCGCGGATGTTGAGCAGCAGGAGGAGGCCGAGGCAGAGGGTGGCAGGGGCGCACATGGCCAGGGTCTCCCGCAGCACCAGCAGCGTGTAGATGGCACCTGGGCGAGGAGCAGAGCACGGGAACCGAGGTCCCTCCCTGAGCGGCCCCCGAGACCCCACGCAGGGCAGCGGGTCCCCACTCGTTCTCACCGATCATGATGACGCTGAGGACGAAGTTGCTGATCTCCTGCAGGAGCTGGGGCCCGAACGCCAGCAGCAGCCCGGCCACCGCCTCCGCCCAGCCCACCGCCGCCAGGTACTGTCCCGGCTCCGGCGCAAACCCAAACTCCTTCAGGGGACAGACCTCGGCGAACCGCACGAACTGCGACTTCTGGGAAGGGTGGGAGGGGAGCAGAGCAGCCCTGAGCCCGGAGCTGGCGG